TGTCCAAGCTATTTCCAGACTGCAACCATGGTTTGTTAAATTTTATCAACCTGACTGTGAATTAATGCTTAAACCATGCTGCACATGGCACCTTTGATAATGACTAATGGTTGACAAAAAACTACATAAATAGCTCAAGCACTTTACTAATTAACTCATTACCACACATTGACTAATGTCCCCTCCAACCAAGAGATAGGTGAGGTGTGTACCAAACAGCTCAACACGAAGCTTCACCACAGGCTGTGTGACTGCCGAGGCAAATGTGTGTTCAGACAGGTAACAGCCACGAGGCTCGGCTCTCTCCCTGCCTTTGGCTATCTGTGTGTAGGATCAGTCCCAGGCCAAAGAGGACCACACTGGACCATTGTTAAAGAATGGGGGAGGGATGGTTCCCCTGAAAAGGACCCTAATCTGGTGTGTGCAAAGTTGGGGTTATTGGTGGAATGAAGTCTGCAGCAGAGGGGAAGAGGAATGCCCTGAAACTTTGAGGAGGATATTTAAATGGCAATTTATTCAAACATGTTGACACTGAGTTTGATCATTTACATTTAGTTTAGAGTTTTACGATTCTGTACTTGAGTGAGAATAGCAATACCACTGTGTGTACAAATACTCCATTGCATGTCCTGCACTCAAAAAGCTAGTCAATGTTTAGAAGTTTCAGCAATATTTTTTTTGAAGTGGGGTTGTATGGGGTACTTATCCATATATCCATAGTCTGTGTATTCCATACAATAGATGTCACATGGCACGCCCCCAGTGTGGAGAAGAGGCTGGAGTCTATGTCTCAATGTATTTTAGCCACCTAAAAAAAAAAAAAAAGTCCCACCTACGACAATCATTATCAGTTTAAGTGTGTGCTATATTGAGAGTATTTTTAGTGCTTTATCGTTCCGTCAGATAGCGCCTTTTAACGAGAAAGCTTTTAATGCCCTCAGTTCCCCATCTATGCTCTTGTCAAAGCCACCAGACTCCATTGAGAAAATCAGTAATTTTACCACGCTGAACACGAGAGCTGCAGGTCTATTGCTGTTTGTGTCATTGTGTGACTTTGGTGAAGCCAAACTTTTAAATGTGAAAGTCACAATAACACAAATAAACTAACTGAACTAGGCAGCAGCAGACCAGCAGCTCCTGTGTTATGCACTATTAAATTACTGTTTTTCTCAATGGAGTCTGGTTTTGAAGAGAGCGATTTAACGGTGAAATTTGACCTTTGAATATCACTGTCTAACATTAAGGTAAAGCTGTGAAAATACTCTCAATATAGCGTACACTTAAACTGATTTAGATTGTTTTGATTGTTTAGATTGTTAGGTGGGACATTTTTAGGTGGTTAAAATATGTTTTGTTGCTGACCCCTCCACAGCAGTACACTGCTTAGCCTCCATGTCAGACTCCAGCCTGCTTCTCCAAACTGGGTGCATGCTGACTGACATCTACTGTATGTAATATACTGTCTATAGATAAGTACCCCATACAACCCCACTTAAAAAAAAGGAACTATCCCTTTAAATATCAACAGTATTTAAAGGGATAGATTGTTATGAACAAATTAGGGCTAAAACAGACAACAGGGTTAATCTCCCATTTCTGAAGAACAACATCATATCTTTATATCTTTTAGATTTTAAAGTTACAAAGTCATTTGTATCTCCAGGCATCAAATAAATGTTGTGGAGGGAAAAAAAGGACAGAATTTTCCTCCTGAAATGTGGTGAAATAGAAGAACTTCACATTTTTCAAATTAACTTGACCAGCATTTATCCAGCGTCCTCCTTACAGGATGAATCATCTTCCAGTCTTATTAGTCATTCAGATAAACATGCAGGGCAGATCCAAAGTAACACTTCATGGCGATCTCTGTGGTTATTTCTCAGTGTGAGAAATCAGGGCAAGTGTTTACGTGTGAATAAATATAAAACTGCATTGTGACGTGGGCTGTTTGCAAAGAGTATGCACGACCTCCATTTGTGGTTGGTCATATTCCTGACTTAGAGACACTGTAACCAACATGTCACTGCTGCTCCTCCACTGAACATGTGGATGTTTGTGTTAAATTGAGTTAGTCTGCCACCTTTTGGACAAATCAGAGAATTTCAGAAGATCAGTGAAGACTTATCAGGAGGTACTGGTTAATCTCAAATTGAATACAAACAAGAGTTCAACAGACTTAATTTCTCCACAGTGAGGGATCTGTGTGATTGTGTGATTGTTATTAAGTTAATATTAAATTCTATGCAGTGTATGTGATGATGCTTGAGTCAGACTTTATAGTTCATCCTCTGAATTTGGTCATTTCTTGTGACGTAAATCATCATGAAAGAAAAGTATGAAGAATTTAATATCACTTATATTTATAATAATTAAAGAGAGTTGTATCATGTAGATAATTCTGCATAAAAAAAACTGTCAGTTCTGTGATTTAGCTGTTACAGCGTTGGTGTCAGTGTAAGACAGGTTCAGTCTGTCTTTATGTTGGAGACACACCGCTCTCTAGTGGTCCATATACATAATTGCATGATACATGGATAAACATGACCCTCAGCAGCCTCTGTGGATTAAGTTAAACATGATGTGGATGAAAATTAATCTCTTGATGACTGGTGATGTACAGTACAGTATCTGTGCATGGGTGTAACGTCCAGTAGTTTTGCTGGTTTTCTCTCAGTGTAGCAGAGGCAACAGAGAAGAAGAGCAATGACATGATAGTGCAGTTTAATAAAGTTTCTCAGTATCTATAGTTGCATGTCTCAGTTTTTCTAGGGCAGAGGTCAGCAACCTTTATAATCAAAAGAGACATTTGCCTGAAGCCACAAAATATATTTGAGCTTCATAATGAAGGTAACACAGCCCGTATTGTCTAAATTAGCACATCAACATAACTAATACAGTAGGTGTAAATCAGCATTCATTAATATGTTTTTGGCTATTTGGTACTTTACCTGTCCTCACACTATTAAATTTTATAGTTTGTCTCCAAGACTTTAACTTTTCTTTAATTTGGAATCCATAGCTAGTTAGGAAGTTTTGGGAATAGCCACCGCTATTGAGGTTTGGCAAAATTTAGAGGAAAAGGCTTCAGACTGTAGACGTACATTTTTGTTGATGAAATGTTCAATCATTTAGGCTACACATTTTTACCACTGAAGAATGGGATCATTTCTTTAGGCCTACAACAATGATATATGACAATGAAAATGTAAAAAAAAAACAAATAACGGTTATTCATTTCCGTGTGATTTTTTTTTTTTTATTAAAGCCACATGGAGCCACTGGAGAGGGGCTCAAGAGCCGGAAATGGCTTTGGAGGCGACGCTTGCCCACCCCCTGTTATATTGTTTGATAGACCAGTTTAAATAACAGTCAGATTCTCCTCTTAAATCCTTCAGATATTGAATGTAGAGTGGAAGTGTTGTATTTAGTTTCATTAATAAGTGTAGGAATTTTTTGGTGTTTGGTATGTACCCTTCACCCAAGGCTCAAACATGGGTGAGAAAAAGCTTCCAACATGATTATTGACTGGATAAAATATAACTGTTAGCACATTGTGGTGCCCAGTAGCTCACCTGGTAGCGCAGACACCCCATGTAGAAAAAGACTGTGTCCTTGCTGCAGCACCTGCAGGTTTGCGTCCACCCTGTGGCCCTATGAGATTTAAACAATCGAACATTTCATTTAAATTGCTTAGATTTACAGAGAGCATACAGAGGATCTGTCTGTGCTGCAGCGGATTTGAGCATTAATTCTTCTATTATAGACACATCTACAGTCCACTATTTAAAACAGATTTTTCCTGAGAATATTTAACTTCATGCTCGTTCTCAAATAGTAACTTAACACAAACAGCACATAGTTTACAACAGTATAGATTAATATTTAGTATCTCTAGTACAGGCACATTTTTTTAATGTAATTATTAGTGCAATTATTAAATTGTGCAATATTCTTCACTATGTGACCTTACTCTCACCAACACCTCTTGAACGTATATATTTATTCAACATGCAATGCACAAAACTGTACATATTTCTTACATTTATTCTTGTTTTATTGTCACAACCATTATAGCGTAATACATATTTTATATTTATGAATGTAGCACTAGTTTTTACTGTGTAATGTTACACACTTACAGACTCAGCACAGTGAATATATATATTTTATAATTGATATCTTTAGTACTCCTGTTATGCATTGTACCATAATGCACATTTTTATTTTTATTTTATTTTATTATTTTGTATTTATATACTTCTAGTCCATACTCTTATTCTTACTTGTAATATTCTCTCTTCTGTACATTGCAGCGACTGTAATGGATCAGTTTCCCCTCAGGGATCAAAAGTATTTCTAAATCTGTTTTTCAGTTGTTTCACCACACGTATTTAGTGTTGAAGGGAAACAGTGAATATTCCACAATTCTGAACTGATTCTCTTTTAAATACATCAAAATGTTGGTAAAATATTACACATTTAAAAATGTCTGATGTATAATTATTTATTATACAGGTTATTTCATTTTTTTCTTTTGTATGATGATATAAATGTGTTAATGTTAAATGCAGCCCACTATACACAGATTCTGTTACTATTGTAACACTGAAGGTAGAAGTTTAACAGCAACTATTTACATGAAATAAAACAAATAATAAATATTAACCAAATAAAGATTCACATTGTGGTTGTGTATCATAGTTTGATGCACATATTTGTACATATTTTCTCGTTTTTTTCTGAATATATTGTAGCAAAAGGCACTTTTTAATTTTTTTTTTTTTTCAAAATTATTTTTCTATTTTTTAAGAGCAACTGCAACATAACCTCAGTGTTTTCTGGAGATCAATCGAGCATTTGTTTCTGATTCATAATGCTTAATTATTGTTGATTGACCTTTTAACCTTGATTTCAACAGATTAATATATATTATTATATTATATTATTTAATTTTATAAGTGTACAAGCCAACAGCCAAGCAAAAAAAAAGCTCTACAGTGTTTTTTGTTTTTTCTTTACCTTTATTGAACACAAGAATTTCTGGCAGAATGCAAAGTCAAACTGTGTTTTCCTTCTTTCCTCAGTTAGTACTCAGTATTTACACCGGTGACAGAGGACAGATGGAGAGACAGACAGACAGACAGACAGACAGACAGACAGAGGAGTGGGAGCCTCCCAATGCTTGACCTACAGTATGAGAGCTGTTGTTTACAGCTGCCGAACAGGGAGCTCTGGATCAGTGACAGTGACCAGCTGTGGGCAGTGGAGGCTCTAGTCCTCTCTGACTGAGTCTGAAGCAGTTGGGTGTTGCGCAGTTGTGTGTCGGTGATTCTCACTGTGAGACAGAGAACCTTGGCAGGATGTTTTTCTCTTTTTCGAACGGTGAAAAATTCATGTTGCTTTGTCTCCTCGCAAACACTGAGCAAGATGAAAAAATCTGCTAGATGTCTGAATCAAGTGGGGAACTCAAAGAGAAAAATGCAAGGCTGCCTCTGTGTCATTCTTGCATCTCTGAGGTACTGGAACAAGGGGGACTGGCACACCCGATGTCCTCCACCAATGAATTTCAGGAGCAGAAAAAAGTTTTTGTGTAAACTTGCACAAAAATTGGTCACACATTTGCACTTTTCCAGAACATTTTCAAGCTTGTTAGTGGACAAAACAGAAAACTCACATGGTTGTTTGTATATTTTCACACTGTATTTCAGCAGAAACAGTAAAACTTGCTTAGGACACCTCTCCCTTTTTTAAAAATTACATTTCAGAGCTCTGTGAAGCGAAAACAGTTTTTGTTTGAAGCAAAAATAAAACGTTTGGAGAACGGGTTACAAGTTTCACAACACTTTAAAGAAGATCAATACAATACATGAAGCCTTCACTATCTTTTCCATTTCAAAAAAATATGATAAGATTAATTTCTACTATATTTTGCATGCTTGCTTCTCACAAATCCAACAATTTCAGATATTTTAGAGATTATGGGACCTGAGCAAAGTGTCATTGTGTCCTCTGCTTATGTAATGTATCATGTGATGCCAGTTATGAAGGATGGGGTGTTTTCTTTGAAGAGGAATTTTGGTTTATTACAGCTTGGATCTTTTTTTTTCCAACACTGGCCATCATTTCTATTTATTATACCAACATAGTTCATTGAATGGGAAAACCATGTAGTCAGGCAGGTTATAAACCATGTGATTGCACCTGAAATGTTGGTAATGTTGGTTTGGGATTGGGTCTAATAGTTTGGGTATGACTGCTTGCGTTTCCACTGGACTTTTTTCCAACCCATCTCATTTCCAAGTTATCAAATACCTACAACATATTTGGTATTGTTGGCAGGATAACGATGCCAGGTCATCTACACTATAGATGTCTGGTGGCGTTTCAAACTGATGCTGTCCGGAGGGGTTATTACGCTGGACAACATTATACCGCCACAAAAGGATGTCTGTTTTTTGTCGGTGTCTGATGCAGAAATGAATCACCAGGTGATGGTATTTGATCACTTCGGAATGGGACCGGATTGGACGTAATGCTACACTGAAACATTGACTTCTCTCTTCACATTGGATGTACCTAATTACGTAAAATTACATTATAACAACTGACTTTTGGTGTCCTGGGTGAACGCCTTATTTGTTTGACCCATTCACCACCCACCATATGCAGAGTTCCTTGCTCTTAAAACTATGTTAGTTGCTGGCAGCATTAAATATAACCCCAGATGGGTCACCTCTGAGTTAGTTGAAAGCCCGGTGTGTCTCAGATTGTACCCCTTTTCCATTAAGTTTGCTCTGATTCTTGAACTGGTTCCATTCATGGTTCCAGGAATCTTGGTGCCAACCTGTGAACCAGCCTGCGTTACCACCAGTTTCGAGTGGAACCACTGTCATCAAGGACATGTCATCAACGGAGGGTGTCGCACAATGCATAACGGAAGTTAACAACAGCAGCAAAATCGTGGATTACATTAATTACCTGCAAACTTTTGTTCTGTTAGGACAGATATTTGTTTTTACCCAAAAACAAGCATAGACCGGCTTTGAAAAATTCTCAATGAACTGTTGCCTTCATGCCCACTTATATCGTCATGGTTCACACTTTAGGTCAAGGAAAACTTGCTATTTTTTGGTTCCAGCTGGGAACCAACTTTTTCAGGTTTTGAATCAATTGAGTTTTGATCAAAATTCTCTCAACAGTTCAAGACTAGGTGCAGGAACCAGAACGGAACCAGTTCCATGTTGGTGGAAAAGGGGTAATAGCGACGCCAAAGGGTGCCTTCGGTGTCAGTATCACACGGTGAAAGGGTGCGACAGAGCGTCGGTATATTATAACCTTGGAATGAGAACAGGCTGTCTTCTTAGTGATGTTGCCACTTTTGTAGATCTCAGAAATTGACTTGGTGAGTACAGTGTTATCGCAATGAGAAATGATGGCGAAACATGCTGTAATAAACCAGAATCATCCTTTAATGAGGACAGTGTAAAAGACCCATCATATACATCAGAACACATTGACTCAGCCATTCTGAATATAAGACACAATCTTAAAGCACTGCGTAACTCACACCTGCGAAATGTAGTAAATGAAAAAGCAAATCTGCAAGAAGATGGAGATGTGAAACTTTTAATGGACAGACACTGAGAGGAATGGAATGCATGCCACCACTTTCTTATTCAAAGGCACTGTGTCTTTCCAGTTTGCAGCTGTTAGACGTCTGCACGTTGGCGTTGGAAAATTCTGTCTCACACTATCAGCTACATCTCTTCACAATCAAACTATCTGATCAACTCTATGACAAAGGACACAATGGATTCACACATTCACAGTGTACTAGCTTGCAGTCTAAAGTAGGAGAACACTGTACAATAAAAAAAAAAAAAAAAAAAAAAAAAAAAAGATGGTTCACAATGACTCACTTTTTAACCTTCCAAAATCTGCAGTGGGGGACTATGGCTTGAGAGAGAACATTTTGAAATCCTTTCCAGGTGTAAAAAGACACCTTCAAACACCTCACACCAATTTTCTTCCTGGGTAGTTAAAGTGATGAAATTTCATCTTCATTCAGTATTGTTGGGGGAAAAAGGACCACTAAGAGGCAATGCTTAATGGCTTACGTGTGTACATTCATTTAAAGACACAGATCCAGTTGTGTTATCTAGATTTAAACCAAATTTCAGTTATGCTACTCACTGCTTGGGCTTTTTTGTTAGTCTGAAAGGACCAGACTGCTTTTGGTAGTTTAATGAGGATTGCTACCTCTGTTTAAGTATTTCTGTCCAGTGTGCATGCTAAAATGTTAACATGTTGTACGCTAAATAACCATAGCCAATCGGCATTATCCAAAATCTTGATTTCATCATAATAATGTCCATTATAAACCAAGAGTCTAAAAACATTTATACAACAATTGTGCTTGGAACATGTGGGTAGAACTGGTTGATGGTCTGAGCTGGTTTGTAACTGGTCATAGCTGTACAGACAGTCTGATGCTGGTGAAAGTGTGACAAGAGGTCACAAATGTTTGTAGACAATATCAACCTGTGCTCAAACTTATTACAATGATCTGAATGAAACGGTTTAACTGTTGTAGGCTGGTTTCATATAAAGCTGATGGTGATCTTAGCTTATGGTGTGTTTGGCAGTGTTTTTGCTGTTAAGCCAGCTTAAGGGCTCATTTATGCTCGACGATGGAGATGAAGACGGATGGAGCCTTCTGTCAATTCTAAGAGTTTAGTTCATCTGCATTTGTACACACTTTCTGGAAGCTTACAGATACGGACGAAACTGAGCAGTACCACTGGAGATCGTGGAGGCAGTGTAGCGTAGTTCAAGCGAGATACAGGTGAAGGAGACAGTAAAGAAATATAAATAATGTAGGAGTGGAACAATAGGGGAATATAGGGAAAAGAATTCAGTTTTTTTTTCCCCGTTAAAGGGTTTTTTTTGGGGAGTTTTTCCTTATCCGCTGTGAGGGTCATAAGGACAGAGGGATGTCGTATGCTGTAAAGCCCTGTGAGGCAAATTGTGATTTGTGATATTGGGCTTTATAAATAAAATTGATAAAAATTGAAAAATTGAATTCTCCGCTACATGTCGGCATGTTCATAATGGCTGCAAAGACCACTGCTGTCTACAGCACTGCCTCCGTTAAGAGGTACAATATTACGACCTCCTCCTCTGTCACCTTATGTTTTGTTGTGTACTTCTGACTCCGCTCTCTAGTGCCATCTATTGGCTGTATCTATGCCAACATAAAAGACGCCTGGAAGTATGAGGGCAGTGACGTTTATGTTTTAAACGGACAAATCCAAAGGGAGTATAAATGAACCTTTACCCGACTTTGTAGTAAGCATGAAGAAAACTTTTTTCTTTCACTAAATGTTCATTCTTTTGGCTGAGTTTTTATTTTTTCGTGTTTTTAACAACCTGTGTTTCACATAGTCCAACCCTACTTGGCTGTGATTGCGTAGTACTCATCACATTGAAGCGTAAAGGTCGGACAAGGCAAGGCTTCGGACAGTGCCACTAGGTTTGGGTTAGTTCTAGTCAGTCACAGCAAAGTATGGCAGGACTAGGTGAGGGAAGACTGGGGGAAAATAATGTGGATGCTAATCGATGCTAATCACTGCCACATGCAAAACTACAGGCAGTTTCTGAGCTTACGCTGTGTTTGGCAGTGTTTCTGCTGCTTAGCTAGCTTAACCCGACTTTGTAGTAAGCATGAAGAGAACTATATTTTCTACGATTAGTTTTTATTTTACAGTATTTTGACAACCCCCTTAACAAGCCTGGAGAATTTAGATTGGTGATATCTGCATCAAAATTAGCTAACCATCCAGACTTAGACGAGCCGCGCAATCCTAGCTGCCTAGAACACCACACTCAGTTTAGTGTATTGCTAGCTGTCTGTTGGGTATTCAACATGCACAGTGAACAGATATAGTGTCTACAGCAGACCCAGATAATGATCATGCAATCAGTCCTCTCAGATACTGGGTAAACTGCCCAAGAAAGTCAATGTAGTCCTTTCACACAACACTATACAATGTGTGTGTTCTCTTTGTGGCTTTGTATTATTTACTCAACTTAACAAATCTGAATTTCCTGTTTTAAGAGTGCCTGTAATATCTGACCAGGCACAACAGATAAAGACAAAATATCTCTGCTAGCTGTGGCTCATTTAATCATTTCCAGAAATTTTCCAGTAAGTGGACCTTGTGCTAAGAGTATAGTGATAGAGTGAATTTAGATCAAAGTGATAAACTGTACTAAACCTACAATACATGTCACATCACTGCAGGCACAAACTAATTAAAGACTTAACCGCAAGATGATGGAAGCAGTGATGACACAAACTCGCACTGACAACAGTTGTGGTGAAAGAGAGGAAACGATGGCTGAGGGAAACAGATGTTTGGTGCAGAAATCTCAGCAAGCTGAGCCCTCGGGCCGATCAGTTATACATAAGCAGTGAACAATAGTGGTTAGCACAGAGAAGGCAACAATGGCTATGAACCAGAGAAGAAGGTAAAGATGGTTAACCCCAAGGAAAAAAAAATGAATGTGATATTCGAGACCAATTACAGGCAGTGGGAACTGGTGTGTCAAGAATTCAACGAGTTTGGCCAACAAGCCTGCGAGGGCTTGTTTTCTTTCAACAAACATGTCTACTTCTCAGTTCAAACCTGCTGACTGAAATTGTTTTGACAAAACACAAATGGCCTTTGGAGTCACTGTTAAGCCCCAAACCTGTCAGGTAGAGAACTGGTCCGAAATGTTAAAAGGAGACTGGCAAAGGGTCAGGTGTACGTGAGAGAGAGAAAGAGATAAAGGTGTGTTCTTACATTGACCTAAAGAAAACCAATTGGCAATATTAACAACGCACAAATAAGCTGTGTTCCATTACAGGCGCCACCTCCTTCAAAGAACAAAGAAGAACTTAATAATTCTAATCAATGTATTGGTTACAGGTCTGGGTCAGGATATGACGCATCTTGGTCCGGACTCCGGGGATGGAGAGGGATGGCAGGTTAACATAGGAGACACAGTTTGGTCATTTTGCCAACAAGGGCAAAGGCGTCCCCGCTTGTTGCCTCTAAAATCACCTACTGAGTGGTTCTCATCAACTTATGAGGTCAAAAATAACCAGCAAGGATTTGCCCATACACGACCCAGGATAGTTCCATGTTTCACATTTAGACACAGTGGATAACTGGCAATCATCGTACCATGTTGCTGGTGAATCTATCCATGTAACTTATTTAACTTTAACTACATGGCTACTTTAGAGAAGCATCAGTTAATTCAAAGGCTATGCTTTCATTTTTTTTACACCCCACAACATCCTTTGTCATTGGTCCCGTTCATATATGTACATACCAGTGATCAAGTGAATACAACTGGTATATTTGGTCACATGGTTGTTTTAAGACTAAGCGAGTTAAAGGACTGAAAGCAGTATGAAAAAGTAATTGGTAGATGTGAGGATACTAAAGACTCCAAGGACCCAGGGAGAAAACTTAGGCAAGATAGTAGCCAGGGTCCACACCTTTGAATCTGCCCACTCCACCAAGCTGCCTAATTAATCTGGCACTGTGACATGAAACAGAGGCGTCTTGATTGAAAAGGAATCAATCCAATGAACACCACGGGGGGGGGGGGGGATTAATGATTAGCCCATCAGCACCATGGGCTGGACTAAAGCTGCTGTCAAGATGTGCACCAGACCCAGAACCCCTGTTACAGTGTAGTCTGTCTAGCAAATTGGACTTTGAGGGACGTGGCCCCTGAAAAGGAACACAGCAGTAACATGACTATTCCCTTACCCTTAACCCAACCCAACCCTGTCTCCTAAAAATGATGCTCTTATACAGCAAATTTGCAACTGCAAATACATTTTGAAAGAAGCCTAATGTCATCTAGATTCCAGTTTCTATCAACATTTTTAAAAGCAACACAAGGTTCACTTGGCAGTGAGGTTCCTTTCATAATGTATTACCCGAAACCATTTGCCAATATACATAAACAGTATTTTTAGGGAGACACGGTTGAAAGCTCTGAACCTTGACTTTAAAAGCATGATAAATCTTTCTCCGGTGTCTTCTTCTGTTTCCCATAGCTTAGTGTAAATGATTTCTGGACCAGAACCATATGGAGACAACATTTAAGAAAAAAAAAAAAAAACATCTAAAGAGTAACCAAATGACAGCAACATGTACAGAAATACAGTAACTTTGCAAAAACAGGCATGCTAATGTTCTAATCTCTAGCCCTGGAAATAACACATTAAAAAAGCTAAATAGGCAGTAACGTCTGCACATTATTTAAACACAACAAAATATCGACAAAGAAAGAAAGACCCATAATCCATTACCACGATGATGACCATACTGCATAAAGAACAGTAGTATTGGTAATGTACCAGTCTTACATGTGTGTACATCATGAGGGCAGTAATCTGTGAAATAAAGCTACAGTCCAACCATGGTTATCTACAGGAAAATAGTATAGATTCTTTTCCATATTTAATAGTTGAGGGTGAGCTATAAGTATTAACTTTCCTTTTTTCTGTGACAGATGAACAAATAGAAACTGTCGTAAGAGGAACTAAGGCATGTGCATGAGGTCTTTACATTTTCCTGGTCAGAAGACACTGTAGAAAGAGACCCATGAATTCTTTTTTTAAGCTTTTCTGTTGTTTTTTTGTTGTGGTTTTTTTCTGATGCAATGGGGTGGTGTGTGACATTGCTTTGAGGTTTCAGTGACTGTGACCCCCCCCACCCCATGTTAACCCCACACCCGACCACCCTTCCTAACCCAACCACCCGACCACCTTCTTCTTCCCGCTACTCTTGGGTGAGGAGATTACGCTTTACTTTCGTTGCCGTTCGTCTGGGGAGCCTCGTTGGGAACTGTCTTCACCTCGGCTGTGGCGTTCTTCACCTCCGTCTCGCCTTTAGTGTTATCATCCTTCACAGTCTTACCGCTACGGGGACAAACACAGGAACAGGAGAGAACCAGAAAGAGACAAAAAGAGAGGAGATTCTGTTAACGGTGAATCACTAAGTCTCTCTCACACAGCTAAACTGTCTGCTCTGAGCTGCCTTTTGTGTCATTTTTCAAAGAAAGAAGGGAAAAAGGGGGGGGGGGGGGGGGCATGCAAGATGCTTTGAGGGAATTTGTTTTCCCTTCTGGAACTGAATGCATTTCACACATAATGGGATCAAGCTCACTATCCTAGCCAGACATCAAATAAGAGTACATGGATGTCACAGCTATTTTCAAGGAACAATGAATGCTGATGTGGAATGAGACAGGGCCGGTACAGTAGGCACAATGCATGAAGGAATGAAAGACTGAGGCATAACCTACAACACAAACTACAATACACAAGAGGATTACACGCCGTCTGGACTGAACCAAGACACAATGGAAAGACACTTTAAAGCCATACTTCACTTAAATCGAATATTTTATGGTGTTAGCAAATACACCCTTGTTGGAATATATGTGTAGTGATGTGCTGCCATGGCTTCCATTTTGAAATAGTGGTGCTTCACTGTCATGTCGAAAGCAGTCATCTCTTCTCCCCTGTGTGTCAGCTCTCAAATAGCAATTGCAATCAATACACTTCTCTTTCCTGCTGACACGTCTAGTACATATAGCTCTCTGTGGGCCTTACAAAGCCAGGGCCAGGACTTGCACCATATACAGCATCCATAAATACATCCAACCCTGACAGACATAAACCTAAAAAACCATTAACATGAATATCTTTATACTCAATACAATCTTTGAAAACTGAGGCCAGCAATGTCACTTTAAATCAAGTGTTTTTGTCCATGCAAACAAGCCAGGAGCGCCGTTAGCATCTCATTAATGCTACAATTTGCACTGCACCCCACAACACTACAATTTTGCCATTGGTGGACCCACAGTTTTAGAAGTATGCATGTGTGAGGGCCAGAGCTACAGTTCAAGACGTGCCAACAAATTCTTACTCCGACCTCGTCACATATCAAGGCTGGGTCATGGACTTCCTACATCAACATATGACGTGCAAGGTTCCCTGGGTGAGTTGGTTGTTGACATTCTGGGATGCCGCGTCAACTTCTGCCAGTGACATGCATTGTTTCTTTTTTAAAATACACTTCTGTTTGCATACAGTCTCGTTCAAAATAAATACACTACGTTGGTACAACACCGCTAATTGATGTTTTTTTCCTTCAACACCAAAGCACGTGGTTGGGTTTAGAAAAAAAGAACAGGTTTTGGCTTTACAGTCACACTAAAGGCAAACACAGGCTTCCCGGGTGAAAGTTTGTGATTGTTGGACCCATCCACCACCCCTCCTGCCCGCCCCACTTGGATTTCCGGCCCCTTAACTTACGTTGTTGTCCTGCTGTGTTTCCCCCTGATGCTGCCAAGTGCAGTTAGACCAGTGACATACTTACTTTAACCCAAAATATGACCTTTTTCTCTTTTTTGCCTAAACCTAACCACAACCATTCTATAACATTAACCTCTTGTTACAATGTGTCTCAGCTGTTTGTCAAATTGAGTTGCTAAAGAATGCCATGTGTGTTATTAGAAACCAAGGGGTGTGAAGAAGCATCGTTATTTGTTGACCTGGGAATGAGGATGGGTTGCAGTCATCCCCTTGTGAATATGAATGTTGTCAACAAGTCTCATAGCAATCTGCCTGACAGAGATTAACAGACACCTTGTATGCAAGGTTGAAGCTTTTGCCTGATAGTGGTGCTAGAAGGAAGGTCACAGAGTGTCCAAAATGGAAAGGGTTCATCCTCTGGAGAACATGAATGCACCAAGCAGATTTAAAGCCATTCTGCCAATTTGCATTTCTCTTTTGTACTGGTAGCAAATTGGACCTGAAAATCTCAGCGGGTCATCCTCTGAGGACCACAAACATCCACTAATTACATTCGGCTGTCAGGGACACATGTCATGGACCAATGTGTTGGTGATTGGCAACCTCTGACCTGACACTGATAGACTGACTAACCAATGGTGTCTAATTTTTTATATCTTACCACAGTATTATCTAAAGTCCCAAATTTGTAGTTTCTTTATTGTTCATGTAGTTGTTTTTAGATTAAACCCTGTCTTAAGAAATACTTTGTAACTTTGTGTGATTGAACTCACAAACAAATCTTATTCAGGGTATTTCATCATAGCCAAAACATCTGCCTTTGTTGCTAAAAAAGCAAGTAAAAACCTAAATAGGAGCCACTATGATTTTTTTATTGTGTTGTTAACTGACCAAAATCCAGAAACAGTGGTCACCTTCACTATCTATAAAGTTGTGCAACACAGACAATAGTCCTGACAGCACATCACTACTTAAAATCCAGCTAAAGTGTTCAGTCATCTTGATAACATTGATAACCAAAGCAGACTATTGACTGACATGTTTTTCCAACTACTATGCTAAATAAATACTCTTGTCATCATTGATCTAACCTCAAAATTTCTAGGACAGATAGGCTGAAATAATTTTATATTTGGATGATACTTTTTGTACAGACCTTGTGGCCTTGCAGCACACTCCAATCTGCCCACATGGACTGACACCACTGTGATTTGTCACAGGTTGCGGAGAATGTTGCTCTTAATTCAGTCTGAATCAGTTCAACTATGAGATTAGGTTTACAAAGACAACAAGGTCAATGCAAAATGGGCTGTTTTAGTCAACGAGTGATAACACTGCACATTATTCAGAGCCTGAGAGAATCCATCTTCAACCCTCTCTTTAGAACCAACTTGCTGCAGTGTCTGACCTTTAAACTGTAAAACTCTTTCATGCCGCACTATCTATAACTATGTCACTCTAAAATCAATGGGCACTACATCACTTTCACTGAGGTAAATTATACTTCTAACTAATGTACTTATAGCACTTGTACCCTTTCAGAGCAATCCAGGCTATTGTTCTGTTGAAACACTTAAAAATGCTCTTACATAACCAAGAGCAATTCAAAGCTAAACTAACTGATTGAAAGCTGCCTTTGAAACATTGTTTTAAAAGTGGTGTGATGAAACATCATGAAAGGCATTTACACCGAACAAAAAATAAACAGTAACACTTTGTTTTTGATCCCATTATTCACCAGTTTAAATTAAAGAGACTGTTTCTATGCACACAAAAGATTTCTCTTAAATTTTCGTCACAAATTTGTTTGAATCCATGTTAGTGAGCACTTCTCCTCTGATAATCCAGCCCTTTCTCATTCCAATCTCATGAAAAAACACCACTTGGTCAGTGATCTCGGCATCAGACATCAACGCAAAAATTCACCATTCACAGCAGAAAGATACATCGCCGGACAGCATCAGTTTGTAATGCAGCCGGAGCCTTTCGTGGTGGTATGATACACTGCTGGTCAGCTGGATGCCACCTTTCACGGCAGTATGATACGAGGACGGCTTCGTCAGTTAATAACGCAACCGGACAGCACCTACTGCAGCGGTATGATACGGCATCAGTTTAAAACACTGCTGGTAATGATGTAATATAAAAAGCTGGAAAGTCCCTATAGGGCGGACAGGAGTGGCGGTGGATGGGTCCAACAAACCTCGGACTTTCACCCGGGGGCTTGGTGTTCGCTTTCCGTGTGAATGTTGAGACAAACCATGATGTTTTTTTCTAAACCTAACCACATGCTTTAACTGCCTAAACATGACCAGGTGCTTTCGTTGTTTTGAGAGACTGTATGCATCTAACAAGCAAAAACTGTACATTAACATCAATCACAGGGGTTACCTAGCACGTAATATGCAGACATGAATGGCACTGACAAATTGGTGACATCTGATGAGTTGGAATGAGACCGCGCGTAACGCAGATAATCTATCCACCTGATAGTTGTAGCATATCAAAATGCTAATTAAAAGGCACTCTATAATGTGCAGTTTGATCACACAACACAATGACACATGTCTCAAGTTTTGAGGGAGTATGCCAGTGCCATGCTGACTGCAGGAATGTCCACCAGAGCTGTTGAGCGTGAATTGAACTTTTATTTCACTACCATAAGGAGTCTCCAATGTCATTTCTGTAATTCGGCAGTACATCCAACCGTCCTCACAACTGCAGACCCCATGCAACCACAACAACCATGGACCTCCACATCTTGTGTCTTCACCTGCAAGATCGTCTGAGACCAGCCACTTGGAGGTTTGTACAATCAAAGAATTTCCGCACAAACCGTCAGAAACCATCTCAGGGATGCTCAATTGCATGCTCGTCATCCCCAGGAGGGTCTTGACCTGACTACATTTCGACTTTGTAACTGACTTGATGGGGCAACTGCTCAACTTCGATGGCATTTGGCACTTCGGATATGTGCTCTATACACAGAAGAATCCCAGTTTACACTGTACTGGGCAAATGACAGGCAGCATATATGGTGTTGTGTGAGCAAGCAGTTTGCTAATGCCAACATTGTGAAAAGAGTGGCCCATGGTGGCGGTGGGGTTATGGTGTGAGCTGGCAAAAGCTACAGACAACAAACACAAGTGCATTTTTCTGATGGCAGTTTGAATGCACAGAGAGGCATGAGATCCTTAAACTTATCGTGCCATATCGCTGCAATGACATTATGTTGCAGTATGATAATGCACGTCCCCATGTTGCAAGGATCTGTGCAAAATTTCTGGAAGCTGAAAACATACCAGTTCTTGCATGGACTGCATACTCCCCAGATATATCACTCATTTATCATGCTTGGGATGCTCCGGATCACCGTGTTCGGCATCCATTTCCTGCCAGAAGTCCTACCAAATAAGTCCTTTGTGTGCATAGATAAAGTAAACTTAGATCTTTAATTTAAAGTTGTGAAACTGGGAGCAATATATTTATATTTTTGTTCAGTGTAAGTTTGTGATGTTTAAGGGTCTATAGTGTGTGGAAATGGTCTGCAAAGATGTTTTCCTACTCAAGAGAGAAAAATGGGTCCTGAGGAGGAG